TTTTTCACCTTGACTAATTTTTTGAAAGAATATGTAGTTGACACTATACGCATAAAAGGGTGGGAGGCGGTAGACCTATTCTCCTCTCTTCATGGTCAAGTGAAGGGCTCTTCTGGGGTTGACTGGGATGCTGGCAGTGCCTAATTGCTTCATTCCTGGCCCCAAGGACACCAGGGAGCCCGGTTTGGTCCCAGGAGCACATTAAAACAGATCTGAAATGGCCAAGGGAGCTCAGCCGAAGTAGACTGCCAGGCGAGCTCCCTTGGCCTCCAAACCAAACCTAGGTGCCCTTGATCCCCAATCAGCTAGCTCATCTGCTGCCAGACTCAGGGGCTGGACACAAATCAGAAGACTGCAGGCTTGAAGCACAGGAAAGAAACCGTATATTGGAAAGCACCACCTGTGACAATCAGATTCATTTGTGTGCCTATGAAATACAAAGAGACCGAATGCATGGGGTGTAACAAGTTTTTTAAACCGATTTAGTGGCATCACTCGTTGGGAGAGGCACACATACATTCAGAAATGTAAGTGAAGACTGTAGGGTTTCAGCTTCTGATTCAGCCGATCCCCTGATTTTGGTACCAGATCTGGCAGCTACTACAGTCTGGGTGTCTATGTAAAGCATTAGACGCTTGGTTAATTTCCCTCTCTCAGCTCTACTTAGTGTGGACACCTGACAGTGGTTTCACTCGCTCAGCGTAGGCAGGTGGAAAGATCACAAGCCTGGGAGACAAGATAAATCTAGGTTCTAACTCTGGCTTTACTTTACGCCTGTACACCCGGGAGCGGGCCTGGGTACTAGGAGTCAGTGATACCTGGCAGAGGGCAGGCCTTTGATAATGCCTGTGTCCTTTTCCTCCACTAAGGAGGACCCTGAGGCTTATTATTCCCAATCCGAGGGATCCGTAATGCTCAGTATTATGGGACTCAAAAAAGTGGGAGACTTTCTATGAAAAAGCCTGCATTATTAGCTGACACACTGTTAAGCTCTGAGAGTAGTAAAAGCCATGGCAACACCTCTAACTGCAAATATTAGGAAGCTGTCTCCCGTTGCTTCTATGAATAACACCGCTTGTGCCATCTTCTGTCATTTTTGCTGATTGAAAAGATGGTAGTGATCAAGCAAATAGTGTAGGTAATCGAAAGTCACAGGTTTACGGAGGGTGGGAGGGAGGGAGACGCAAGAGGGAAGAGATATGGGGACATATGTATATGTATAACTGATTCACTTTGTTATACAGCAGAAACTAACACACCATTGTAAAGCAATTATACCCCAATAAAGATGTTAAAAAAAAAAGTCACAGGTTATCCTTTCTTTCATAAAATTGAATGTTTTAAAACCAACCAAACAAGATAGAATATAGAGATTTTAAATCCCTGGAACGTGTTGCAAAATCACTAGGAGTCTCAGTCATTGGGAAAAAATCAGCTTGTCAAGCTTGTCAGCTGTGGCTTCAGCAACACGACTGCATGGATCCCAGTCATTCATCCCAAGTGAGGCTGCATTTGGGACCCTGAAGCCAGGATAGCACCACTGTGACTTTACTTTGGCCCTTGACTCACTCTGCCTTGTTTTGTAGACAGCAGTTTATCTGTCGCAGCCTGGATGATGGGCTCCTGGAGGCCGAGGACCTTGTCCAGGCCATCATTGTGTGGCCCAGACACCTAGTGCTGCCCCTGACCTTAACAGATGCTCAATAAATAATTGTTCTTACCTTTGACTGAGAGCTACTCATGACTCCTGCTTCTCTGCTCTCCAAGAGGAAAATCATCAAGTTCCTTCTGGGATCAGAGGAAGATTTTGTAAAAGAAAACATTTGCCCACTTGAGTCTTGCGTTACACAAGAAAGCTCTCTGATTGTTGGCAAATGCCTCCCCTCACTCCTCCACATATACACCTGTTGTTACCTCTGGGCCTTCCCTTTTTTTTAATATATTTTTTAATTTAAGAAATACAGCTCAAAAAATGAGTTGCCCTGTTGAATTGTTTTTTGTTGTTTTTATTGGGATATAGTTGTTTTTATTGGGATATAGTTGCTTTACAATGTTGTGTTAGTTTCCACTGCACAACAAAGTGAATCAGCTGTATGTATACATATATCCCCTCCCTCTTGGACCTCCCTCCCACCCCACCCCCCATCCCACCCAACTAGGTCACTGCAGAGCACCCAGCTGAGCTCCCTGTGCTATATAGCAGGTTCCCACTAGCTATCTGTTTCACTCATGGTAGTGTATATATGTCAATCTCAGTCCCCAAATTCATCCCATCCCCTCTTCCCCACCGTGTCCACATGTTCATTCTCTGTGTGTCTCTATTCCTGTCCTGCAAATAGGTTCATATGTACCATTTTTCTAGATTCCACATATATGCGTTAATATACAGTATTTGTTTTTCTCTTTCTGACTTACTTCACTCTGTATGACAGACTCCAGGTCCATCCACGTCTCTACAAATGACCCAATTTCGTTCCTTTTTATGGCTGAGTAATATTCCATTGTATATATGTACCACATCTTCTTTATCCATTCATCTGTCAATGGGCATTTAGGTTGCTTCCATGTCCTGGCTATTGTAAATAGTGCTGCAATGAACATTGGGGTGCATGTGTCTTTTTGAATTATGGTTTTCTCAGGGTATATTGGGCCTTCCCTATTTTCAATAACTTTATCCTTTTTTTGGAATGTTGTTGGGTCAATAAATGGCTGCAGATAAACGTTTCTCCTTTTTCCCGTGTGTTGCCTCAGTTCTGTTTCAATGAAGACAGCCACAATACTCTGCTAGCCTTACAGCTTTGGGGCAAGGGCTCCAGCTTTCATTTTTATGTCTTCTTAGTGCAGAAGCATTCACAAGCTTTACTGGTTTCAGGAATTCACTGAGCCAGAGGAGGTTCCCCCCGCAGCCCTAAGTGATCAGGAACTAATCACTCCACACCTTGGTCACTCCTCCATGTTCTTCAGACTGGGTAGAAGAAGACACTGCTCTCAGCTCAGTCCTTAAACTCAGTAAGTTTTTTCTTAATTCTCCACTACTTCAACCGCCTCATTGCAACTCAAGCTTGGGGATAAGAATTAAAGTTACTAACAAGAGAAAAGACAGCAAAGAGAGAATTTCCTTACATCATAATGAAGATATCTAACAAATGAAACCTACACTGTCAAGAGTCACTAAAGGCCTTTAATTTTCAGAACAAGAGTTCCCAGAGAAGAGATGATGGTCTGACTTTCTCTCTACCATTAAAGGGCCAGGACTGTAACTCCCAGTGGAATTATTCCCTGCCCCTCGCTCCTTCCTTACCTGATCACCCATTCCACTCCATGCCAACCAGTTAAAAAGCAATCTTCCTGCAGGCTCTTGGCTATATAGTGTTAATTTCCTACCCTAGATAGACCCTTGTATGCTGAGAAAGGAAAATTGAATTTACTTGGAAAACTAAATGGTTTAGTTGGAAAACTAAACTAAACACCTAGGTGTTTGGGAAAGGTGGCCCATTGGCTCCACATGAGGAAGCAGGAAGTCATAATCCCAGAAGTTCACAAATCACGAGGTCTGATCTGACCACGTCCCAGGATGCACTGGGAGGCAGCCACGGGCTGAGCTGTGGCAGCAAAGAAAAGTGTTGGCTTGATGATAGCAGGGTGTTATCAGGAAAGAGGATAATGGGTGAATCCTAGAGATCCCAATGATGCGGCCTCAGTTAGGAAACTGAGCTTGATAATAAAGAAAAAATACAAAGAAGGAGGTTTGACTTGAATCTGAACCCAGGGTGGCATGATGAGTACTTATTTTTCAGATGGTGTTTATTTTCAGAAGGACTTTGATGCCCATCCCCTCAAACAAATCAGATTCCTCATGCTTACTGAATCATTTGCTTGGAAGAATTTCGTGTCCCTCACAGTGGGCTGAAGATTAGTGCCCCTGAGTGAGAAACACTGAGTGTATTTTTCTTCCGTTTCTCCTTTTTCTTAGTGATGTCCACTGTCCTACAGTTGGTATCCTTACTATCATATCTGTGTGTAGGGGTAGAAAGGTCAAGAAAGTCAAAACTGTGAACAGTAAGAGACAAAGGCAAGAGAGACTTTTTATATGTTATCAAACTATAACAACTAACACGTCAGCTACCACTCCCAAAGCATGAGAGTTTCGTTTAAAGGTGGGAAAATCTTGAGCAAATTGTTCATTTCCGTATATGCTGGCATGTGCTGTTTCTCTGCCTGAAACATCACCACCACCACGCACACACACACACATATACACACGCACACACACACACACACACACATATACACACGCACACATGCACCCTCCTTGCCTTGCCTAACTCCTCTTTAGCTTTAGGTTCTCCCTGTTTAGTCTTCCTAGACTCCAAGTCTGAGATGGGTTTCCCTCTTAATAGCTCCCATAAGACCCTGAACATTCTCCAGCACCACGCTTATCACAACACTGATCACAAAACATAGTAATCACTTCACTACATTAGAGCTCCATGAAGGCAGAGACCAGATCTATCTTTCTCCACAGTTCTATCCCCCATTCCTGGAATGGCAGCCAATAAGTGTTTATAGAATAAGTGAATTCTGTAAGACTTTTCTTTGTATGAGCCTTTGTTTATCTCTCTGAACAACGTCTGTTAAGTATGGTCGTTCAGGTCATCTACTGTATGAGGACATCTATAGCAGAATCGGGAGGGGAGGCTGAAATCCAGCCCACATTCTCATCACCAAGCCACTGTCACTGGTGGTATCCACTCAGAGGAAGAGGTACATTTTTCTGATTTGCACTGTGGCACCATATGGGCTTTGAGCAGCCCAGCTCTGAACAACACTTAGTGTCTTCAAAAGCAAGTCAGAATTCTCTCTCTCCTTCCTAGAAAGGCTAGGACAGAGTGCTTTTACAAAACTGTTTCTTCAGGTCCTTTGCCAGCCATCAAAGCCAAGACTGCCCCCATTCACGGCAGAGATCTCCCTCACTCTCCTCTGATTTTTGTCTCCTGCAGGGTTTGGGATGACGACTCCAGCAACAGTAGAAGGAAAAATCTTTCTGATCTTTTATGGTCTCCTCGGGTGCTCCAGCACCATCTTGTTCTTCAACCTCTTCCTGGAGCGCCTGATCACCATCATCGCCTGCATCATGAAATTGTGCCACCAGCAGCAGCTCCAGAGGCGGGGGGCCTTGCCCCAGCAGAGTCTGAAGAACCCGGGGAAGGGTGAGGTGGACAGCTCGGCTGGCTGGAAGCCCTCCGTGTACTATGTCATGCTGATCCTGTGCATGGCCTCCCTCCTCATCTCCTGCTGTGCGTCCGCCATGTACACCTCCGTGGAAGGATGGAGCTACTTCGACGCACTCTACTTCTGCTTTGTGGCTTTCAGCACCATTGGCTTTGGGGACCTCGTCAGCAGCCAGAACGCCCGGTATGCTAGCCAGGGCCTCTACCGCTTCGCCAACTTCGTCTTCATCCTCATGGGCGTCTGCTGCATCTATTCCTTGTTCAATGTCATCTCCATCCTCATTAAACAGTCCGTGAACTGGATCCTAAGGAAGATGGATGGCGGGTGCTGCCAACAATGCCAGAGAAGACTCTTGCAGTCCCGGAGGAACGTGGTGATGCCAGGCACTGTCCAGAACCGGTGCAACATCTCCATAGAAACGGATGGAGTCATAGAGAGTGACACGGATGGGCGGCGTCTCTCCGGTGAGATGATCTCCATGAAGGACTTCTTGGCGGCCAACAAGGTCTCACTAGCCATCCTCCAGAAGCAGCTGTCCGAAATGGCCAATGGCTGCCCCCACCAGACCAGCACTCTGTCGCTGGACGATGACTTCTCAGGGGGGATAGGAGCCTTTGCAATAATGAACAACAGGCTGGCAGAGACCGCTGGGGACACGTAGGGGCAAGGAGAGAATGGACAGCGAGGGTACTGCCACCCAACTCAGCTCTGTGCCCTGGCTGGGTTCATTCTGTTCCTTCTAGTCTGGAGCCCAGCTTGAGAAATCTCATCTTCTTGTCTCCAGCCACTTCCCAGGGCTGCGGGAACCTGCAACCTCGATGCCTTTCTCCTTATCTTTATTCTTTAAGTCTGAATTCAGTCTTTTAAAAATGAACCACAAAAGCAGTCTAAGACATCGTATTGTCTTCTTTACCCACCTTGCTCCAGGGCTTTAACTGCCTAAGAGAGGGAGGGCTTCCTTAAGCCTTGATCTCCTGCTGCTCTATTCTTCATTTGGAAATAAAAATCCTGAAGATCCTGACTTTCCCCGGGAACTCTGAACAGCTGAATTCACTGCCTCTCTTAGTCCCGTCAACAAAGGGAGGGTGGGAACTGTTTGAGAATGTGACTGGGCTTTCTTTTTGCTGGGCTTCCTTCTGGGCAGATTCATCCATGGGGCCATGGCTAGGGAAAGCATCTGTTCCTCTTTATACCTGCTTCTCAATTTTTGTTTTTCTTTTCTTTTGTTTTTAAGCTCTTAACGCTTGACTAAGGTGTCTGTGGGACTTCAGTGTGGTAAGAAAAGAAAATTCAGCTTCAGGCCTTTAAACTGAGGCATGGTGGTGGGAAGACTCGCTCTTGTCACTAAAGAATAGAGCTTAACGTGTTAAGCTCTATTCTTAACACGTTAAGCTCTGTTCTTAACACGTTAAGCTCTGTTGAATGGACCCTTTGAATGGTCCCAGAGCCCACTTCATTTTTACCAGGGTTTGGGGCCCATTGCAAAGATAATGGCTGACTATTTATTAAAATCGAAAGTTTAATAAATCCTCATTTTATTAACGAAGATTACACGAGTGTTCATTAAGGGCATTGCGGGGAGGGTGCCTAATTAAACAGGCACTTACTGGGCTCAGAGAAAAAGGAAACAGGAAGTTAACTTCTAGGAATGCGGACATCATCTTGGATTCTTGGCTGGAGAAACATTCTAGACCAGATAATGAAACTTGCCTTCTCTTGTCTAATCCGTTTCAGTTCTGCCTTGTGGTATTGTAACAAGTCGAATTACATAACCTCCCATGTTGTTAAAGCGGTCCATGCTAGGAACAAGAGCTGTTGATCTTCTACGTCTACGCAGGAGAGAAGATTTGGGGGGATGAGAGCAGAGTTCATAAGAGATAGCTGCACTTTTTATAAGAATGGTGTCCAAAAGGCACTTTCAGAAATGAGGAAGAAAGATGGGCGCCATAAAGAAGACAAAGCAGAAAAGCTCTGCCCAATGAAACTGAGCTGTTGAGCAGAAAGCATCAGGCTGGGAGGACCCTTAGGAACCATCCCATTCAACCCCCTTGTTTTTGACACAAGGAAACAGAGGCACGCGGGGATTGCTCCTTGTCTGAATGCTCAGGGCTGATGGGACGCAGCTAGGAGAAGCGCCCGGGTCTCTGCTGAAGTCTGGGCTCTCCACCCATTGCTCTACCCAGCCTCGGAACACCCCCAACAGCTCCCTCTCCAGGCTGAGTTGACTTTTCTTCCAGCTGGCAAACCCAGATATTTTCTTTACGGTACCAGGAGTGCCCTAGAACCAAAGTGTGATTAGCAGCAGCGCTGGGCTTTGAACTTAGGGCTGTGAAGCTCCAAAGTCAGAGATCTTCAACCGTTACCTTGTATCACTCTTACAGGGCAGCAGCCTGGAGCTACTGCAAAACCCTTGTTAGGAACTTCTGATCATAAACTGAGCCCCCTGGGGGCTCTGACCTGCACGAGGCACTGTGGGGATGGGGAGAGCATCTGGGTCCCTGCCCGTAGGGGATTTCTTGATCTCCACATTCCTGGTACAGGGACTGGCACGAAGCAAGGCCTTGCTTCTCTAACCTGGGTCCCTAGAGATCTCGCAGGTGTACCAAGAGGCCAAGGAGCATCAGTATAAGCAAGCCTCATCTTCCTGGAGGGTCAGTTTTACTAAATGATTTTTGCAGAGAAATGTTATGTCAAAACACATCTATTTAAGTAGGTCCCGAAATCGGCGTAAACATTTAAGCGAAACATGAAAAACATTTGTGATCTTATGATGAACTTTCTAAGTCTTCTCAGAGTCTCAGAGGATGAGTTTGTTCTCCTCTAGGTTGGGGGTTCCCTGGTGGAAACACTTGAGAACCAGTGTAAAGAGAGAAAAGTGCGATGCATTTAGGATGGATGGATAGATGGATAGGAGTAACATGCCAAAAAAATTACAAAACTAGGAATCTTTGTTTAGATAAACCTCTTTATACTTACCCTTAGGCGTGAGTTGGTCAATAAGAGAATTTCTAGATAGTAATATCAAAGCTGGAGTTCAAAACCTGGAGCCCACAAATCCCCTAATATTGTTATGTATGTGTACATGAACGTGAGCGGAAACACACATGTGCAATTTCCTAGGTAACAAGCTTCATGGTTTTCATCATGTTTCCAAAGGGGTCCTCACATCTTCACTAGAGTAAGAACGTTTACTGCTATTTTCTCTTGTTACCTTTGTCCCCACTCAGCATGTCTCTGGCCCTCCTGACCAGTTCTCTCTATTCTGTTCTCTCTGAACTGTCACTGTGTGACCTTTAGGTTGGCCCAGGTTCTTCTGTTTAGGAACCCAGAGACTCCCCAGAGTGATAAAGGACCTACTGACTCAGCATCATGAGGTAGTCAGGCTTCATCCATGGCTGCGCTCACAGCTGGCCATCTTGAGCTCTCTGTGACGCTATAAATGTGAACTGGCCTTGAATGCAGGGACCTCAAAGCCAAGACCCAAGTGACCATCAAGTTTCTCAAGGGACCATCACCCCACACACTTGCACAAGTTTTGTTCTATCTCCATCCTACCTGCAATAGTATCTTCTTAATATTTTAATCAACTCAGTTTTAATTAGTTTTGTTTAAAAAGAAACTTTGTCTCACTACCTAAACAGAAGACTCATATCACTTGCCATAAACAGAAAATAGAGTCATTGCAAAAATCAATATAATGAAGGTAAAACTATGTTATTAAATTCTAACAAGATCCCATATCCTAGTAAAGGCTTTAATCCCAAGATCTTTTCTCTCTTGGTTAAAAACTGAGATTGGCAAATGTGGGGGAGTTGTTATAAAAACTCATTAGCACCGAACAGAGACTCTCTTCATGATGTAATGAAAGGACTGGAAGAGAACTGGGAAGGGAGTAACTTTCTGACCGTACGGTTCAGTGTTAATTCATTCCAAGCCTGAGGGCCCCTAAAATCATCTTATGTTCCACCCAAATCATTGGTGCACATCCCACATTGGGGGGGCTACATAAAAGTAACAAAGTACAGCACAGTTTCTGAGGTCATGCCCCCCACGTGGTAAAGAACAGTTCTCGGATTTGAACACCAGGCCCAGTAGTTCTAATGTGAGAGACAGTGGGCAGCTCTCTCAACCTCACTGTGTCCCATTCCCTCTGTACCTGTGATGTGGAAACAGTAGCAACACCAGATCAAATGAGGAGATGCTCAGGGCAGGGCTTTGTGGCCTCTGAGGAGCTGCAAATGCAGTGGGTGCTGGTGGTCCATGTGCTGTGGGGGTGGGGGGACATTACATCCAACAGGGAAGGATTTTGTTCTCTTCTTGCACCTTCCACCCAGCACTTGCCACACTGCACTTCATTAACTGTTCTCATTTATTAAATGGCGTCACTCTTGGTGATGGTTTTATACTAAACCAAAAGACCACAATGTCTTTATTTCTGTTCCAGTGAGTCCTTTTATTTTAGTATTAGCTGAGCCAGTTGAATGATTTGACACAGTAGAATGTTCTGGGAAAGCTGTAATATCTTGGATTTTGCTAGAATTTTATAGCTTTTAAGGCTTATCCATTCACAGTTTATAGCTTTTAAGGCTTATCCATTCACAGTTGTAATATTTTGACTTTCATAACCACATTGCGAAGTAGGTAGGGTACTTATCTTCAAACTGCCTTTAATCTTTTCTGAAATAAGAGAGAGAAATAATCACACTTCACATAAAAATTAACTGGGGTTCAGATTGAAGTAGGTTAGAGAATAAGTAAGTTAAAATTATACAGGGCTTCCCTGGTGGCGCAGTGGTTGAGAGTCCGCCTGACGATGCAGGGGACATGGGTTCGTGCCCCAGTCCGGGAAATTCCCACATGCCGCGGAGTGGCTAGACCTGTGAGCCATGGCCACTGGGCCTGCACGTCCGGAGCCTGTGCTCCGCGATGGGAGAGGCCACAACAGTGAGAGGCCCGCATACCACAAAAAAAAAAAAAAATTATACAGACTGGGTTTGAAGTTTGGGTTTGTCACTTTCTGGTTATATGAATATGGGAAAATTACTTAATGTTTTAAAACCTAGTTTCCTCATTGTTAATGTGGGAACGGTTGTATCCGCATTGCGGCATCACTGAACCAGGTAAATGAAGTGATCTGGGTCTAGGCTCTCATCATCAAGACTATGGTCCCTAAGCCCTTGGAAGTGAAGGATGATAAGTCACAGCATTTCAGAAGCCAAAGGAAAAACAAGACCAGCTTCTAGAAGAGCCCATTTTATTCCAAAATTTGGAAAGAAAGGAAGTTTCCTCCTTCCTATATGACATAATGTAATACATTCTTTTATGACCAAGTGGGATTTATCCCGAGGATGCAAGGACAGTTTAACATTCACAAATCAATAAATGTGATACACAACCAATAGGCTGAAGATAAAAATCATAGAGTCATCTCAATAGATGTAGAAAGAGAATTTGACAAAATACAGCATCCTTTCATGATAAAAAAAAAACTCTCAACAAATTGGGTATAGAAGGAATGTACCACAACGTAATAAAGGCAGTAGATGACAAGCCCACAGCTAACATCATGCTCAACAGTTAAAGGCTGAAATCTTTTAAGGTCAGGAACAAGACAAGGATGCCCACTCTCATCATTCCTATTCAACATAGTACTGGAAATCCTAGCCAGAGAAATTAGGCAAGAAAAAAAATAAAAGGCATCTAAATCAGAAAGGAAGAAGTAAAAATTCTCTCTGCAGATATGATCTTACATATGGAAAATCCAAAAGACTCCACAAAAAATGTTGTTAGAATTAATCAGTGAAATCAGTAAAGTTGCAGGATACAAAATCAGCTGTGTTTCTATACACTAACAATGAAATATCTGAAAAATAAAGAAAAGAACCCCATTTATATTAGGATCAAAAACAATAAAATATTTAAGAATAAATTTAACCAAGAAGTTGAAAGATCTGTATGCTGAAAACTATAAGACTTTGATTAAAGAAATTAAAGACAAAAGATATCCCATGTTAATGAGTCAGAAAAATTAATATTGGTAAAATTGCCATACTACCCCAAACCATCTATAAATTCAATGCAATCTCTATCAAAATTCCAATGGCATTTTTCACAGAAATAGAAAAACAACGCTACAATTTGTATGAAACCACAAAAGACCCCAAATAGCCAAAGCAATCCTTAGAAGAACAAAGCTGGAGGCATCACGCTTTCTGACTTCAAACTATATTACAAGGCTATAGTAATCAAAACAGTGTGGTACTGGCATAAAACCAAACACATGGACCAATGGAACAGAATCAAAAGCCCAGAAATAAACCCAAGCATATGCAGTCAACTAATATTTGATTAGGGAGCCAAGAATACTCAATAGAGAAAAGACAGCCTCTTCAATAAATGGTTCTGGGAAAATTGGACATTCACAAGCAAAAGAATAAAACTAGACCCTTATCTTACACCACTCACAAAAATTAACTCAAAATGGATTAAATACAAATACTGAAACCATAAAACTCCTAGAAGAAAACATAGGG